ACCAGTAATCCCATTTAACCCCTTGATCCCCCCCCCCCAGTTAACCCCTTCACTGCCCTGTCACCAGTGTCATTGATTACAGTGAACAGATTTTTACTGATCACTGTATTAGTGTCACTGGTGACTTCCGATAGTGTTAGCGCCCCTCCCAGATAGCGCCAGTTTGCCCGGTAATGCACGGGATTTTTTTTTTACCAAAAACATGTAGCAGAATACATTTTGGCTTAAATTTATGACTAACTGAGTTTACGATATATTCTTTATAGCTGAAAGTAGAAAATATTGTTTTTTTTTCAAAATTTTCGTTTTTTTTTTTGTTTATAGCGCAAAAAATAAAAAGCACACAGGTGATAAAATACCACCAAAAGAAAGCTCTATTTGTGTGAAAAAAAAGGACGTAAATTTTGTTTGGGTACAGCGTTGCATGACTGCATTATCATTTGAATTAGTGCAGCGCCAAACAGCAAAAAAAGGCCTGGTCATTAAGGGGGGTAAATCCTCAGGAGCTCAAGTGGTTAATGAAATTTAGTACACACACACACACCTTTTTTTGCAAAATATAAAGAGGATGTTATGCTGAGTAAATTGATACCAAACATTGTCACACTTTAAAATGCTCATGGAACAGTGACTAACTACAGTTAAAATTAGCCATAGGTGACACTTTAAATCTAAACAGTTAACCTGTAAATGCTTTAAAGCACAAGGTCTGGTGCTAGAATTATTGCTCTTGCTCTACAATTTGCAGTGATGGCCTCCAAAGCAGCAAATAAAACAGAGATCGGTTTAATCGGCTGCTACACAAGCTGGCAATGGCTTGAAAACAAAGAAACCAAAACAGGAAGTGACAAAATCCTTGTCTCTTCCGGTTTCTGATGCAACACAGTGGGAGGGACAAAGGTCAGTTCCTCTCACTGTGTGCTGCAGCGATACCCAAGATATCACCTTCCAATCCAGCAGCATTTTACTTTTGTGGGGGAAAAAAATAGCAACTAAAAAAAAAAATATACTGTATACAACTGCGACTAAAGTCATATTGTTACTGAATGTTATTAAAAATGATTTTTCCTTTTCAATCTGCAGTGCTGTAATTTTCTGTGCAATGCAATATGGCAACCTGGAGGTGTTCTGTACACAGATAGTGTACAGAAAGCCCCCCAGAAATCTTATTTCTTGCTTGTGATTGGCTCACTGATTTTCCCAGAAGTCTGCACTATGACGCAAAACAGATTTTTGGCATCCCCTGCAACAAAACGTCATTTTTGGTGAGATTCTCCCAAAGGGAAATCACATCTAAAGGGATACAGACCTCGCCAATTTAGTCCTCAGAGCCCTGCAGGTGCAGCAGCTGATCAATAATTGTAAATCCACTCTCATAAAATTTACTCTGCACATGGACACAGGCAAACAAACCAGCTATTTCTTCAGGAGTAGCAAAAGGTAGGAATCTGCAATAAAATTTGTTAATTTCCTGCAATGTAGATAGATCACCCTGAAGGGAATGTTTTTTTCTCAACAAAAGTGAAGTTACTCTTTAAAGGACTGGCTGGTATTTAAAAAACTCTGTTTATGCATTTGCTAGGACCTAATTAGTCTTGCAGTACTATATTATGTAGGATGGAAGCAATCAAAATATCAAAACGTTCGTTGGCATGATACGGGCAGTGTGCAACTAAGAATTACTCTAACATAACGGTATGAGGTAAAAATGAACTCATTCGTTTCCACAAAAAATATTTCCTTGAATCCAAGAATGTAATGCTCTTCTGGCTAAACCTCACACTGTGCCAAACAGCTACAAGTCATGCTCCCACTCTGACACAGCCCAGAACTCCAGACCTTTAGCAGCTTTTGCAGTTCTGTAAAACATTGGCTGTAGCCCTGCTGCCAAAAACCCCTCAATTTTCAGCTTTTAGTAATTCATTGAAAGCGGAGAAACCAAAGAAAAAGTAAATATGTCAGGAAAAACCACTGCCCTGGGCAAGTTTTCAAGCTAATTTATATTGACACAATTTGGATTAACATGTGCACATGGCAAGCATTTAAAAGACAATAGTTTACAAAGACTTAACATTCTGGCTGAACTTCTGACTAGGAAAAAGTCTAAGAAAAAATTAAGTACAACAAGACAATGAATGTAATGCAAATCCTGGGATGGAGGTCTAAGATAGGCTATTGTGATGACATCTTAATTCAATCATAAGTTTTTTGGGTTTTTTTTTTTTTGCTTTGAACCCCTTCACGCCTAAGGGTAGAACAAATCTAAATGCCTATGCACAATTCTGCAACGTTGACATGTTGACATGATAGTAAAACCAACCATATCACCACAACTACTTTGTACATCCGAGTGGATTATACCTTGATTTTTTTAGGACAAATTGGGCTGTCATTTGGTGGTAAATGGTAATGGATAGCTCCCGATTTTTTTTTTATCAAAGGAAAACTGGCACAAAATAGTAAAAAAAAAAAAAAATCAATCTTTTTTTTTTATTTAGCTGTGTTTTTCTTGTTACGACCATAACCTACCACCAAAGAACAACACAAAATAAATTCTCCAGCTCTTGACGATCGCAGAGATACCATATGTGTGTATGTTATTTGTACCCGTAGGAATCAATAGTGCGCATTTTTTTTTTTTTACCTAAAACACACTGACATTAATGCAGGCCATAGATGGGTCGAAAATCGGCCGATTTTTCGGCCGAAAATAAAATCGGCCGATTTTCGGATCGTTAGTGGGCGATTTGGTCGGCCGTTTTTCGGGATTTTTGGCCGTTTTTTTTTTTTCGGTAAAGTTGGAAAAAACCGGCCGATTTTGCCGATCGGCCGATTTTCGCGGCAATTAGTGGGCAAATCGGCCGATTTTTTACCGATAAAAAATCTGCGCATGAGCAGTGACCTGCAAGAGGAAGACAAAAAAGAAAAAGAAGAAGAGGAAGAGGATGAAGAAGAAGAAGACGAAGAAGAAGAGGGAACGAAGAAGAAGAAGAAGAGGACGAAGAAGAAGAGGACGAAGAAGAAGAAGAAGAAGAAGAGGATGAAGAAGAAGAAGAAGAGGATGAGGATGAAGAAGAAGAGGATGAAGAGGAAGAGGATGAGGATGAAGAAGAAGAAGAAGAGGAAGAGGATGAAGAAGAAGAGGATGAGGATGAGGAAGAAGAAGAAGAGGAAGAGGATGAAGAAGAAGAAGAAGAAGAAGAAGAAAAGGATGAGGATGATGATGAAGAGGAGGATGAAGAAGAAGAAGAAGAAGAGGATGAGGATGAGGAAGAAGAGGAGGATGAAGAAGAAGAAGAAGAAGAAGAAGAAGAGAGGGGATGAAGAAGAGAAGAAGGATGAGGATGAAGAAGAAGAGGATGAAGAAGAAGAAGAGGATGATGAAGAAGAAGAAGAGGATGAAGAAGAAGAAGAGGATGAGGATGAAGAAGAAGAAGAGGATGAGGATGAAGAAGAAGAAGAGGAGGATGATGAAGAAGAAGTGAGGATGATGATGAAGAAGAAGGTGAGGATGATGAAGAAGAAGAGGATGAGATGATGAAGAAGAAAGATGAGGATGATGAAGAAGAAGAGGATGAGGATGATGAAGAAGAAGAAGGATGAGGATGATGAAGAAGAAGAGGATGAGGATGATGAAGAAGAAGATGAGGATGAAGAAGAAGAAGAAGGATGAGGATGATGAAGAAGAAGAGGATGAGGATGAAGAAGAAGAAGAAGAGGATGAGGAAGAAGAAGAAGAAGAGGATGAGGATGATGAAGAAGAAGAAGAGGATGAGGATGAAGAAGAAGAGGATGAGGAATAAGAAGAGGATGAGGATGAGGAAGAAGAAGAGGATGAGATGATGATGAAGAAGAAGAAGAGGATGATGAAGAAGAAGAAGAAGAAGGATGATGAAGAGAAAAGAAGAAGAAGGATGAGGATGAAGAAGAAGAAGAGGATGAGGGATGAAGAAGAAGTAGGATGAAAATAAGAGGAATTCCAGTCCAGCAAAAAGTGTCTCTGCAGAGAGCTCCGCTATTTCTTTGACAGTTCTCTGACAGTTCCTTGACATTTACAGCGGTTGAAACATTGTATCTATTTGTTTCCGAATAAAAACATCTGTATCCTAAATGGAAACAAATAGATACAATGTTTCAACCGCTGTAAATGTCAAGGAACTGTCACAGAACTGTCAGAAATAGCGGAGCTCTCTGCAGGGACACTTTTTGCCGGCTGTAGAAGGGATGAAAATCGGCTGATTTTTTTTACCATTGATGGTAACGTCGGCCGCTTGAACAACCGAATTTTCGTTTTTTAAAGAAAAATCTGCCGTTTTTCTCCCCATCTATGGCCTGCATAACACTAACTCAAACTGATACAAATTTATTTTTTTAAATCCTGACCTTTGACCCTGACCCAAACAATAACCCTGGCACTGAACTAGATCAAACCTCGATCTAGGTATTTTTCTTTATTTTTTCTTTTATTTTTAATATTTATTATCTTTTTTTTTTTTTCAAACTTTTTTTTCTCTATGCCAGGAGTTAGAGAGATACAATGTATCTCTCTTCTCCATTCATAGAGGGAGAAAAAAAAAAAAAAACAAGGGGGCCAGGCTGTACAGTGACTGATCATTGTGATAGCCAATCAGAGGCTATCACAGCGATCATGTGACCCGGAATCGGGAGTCCAGGGTCCCGATCGTTAGAACGGGACCCAGGGCTCTCAGTGACACAGCGGTCTCTGTGCTGGGAGTGTGCAGTGCGGTGTACTCCCAGCACAAAGACAGGTACGCAAATATGGGGCCCCACGGGAAAAAACCCAGTTTCGTGAGGCCTCATATTTTTGTGACGTCGGCATCAAGGGGTTAAGAAACACAATAACATCAGACGTGGTTTCTTGGTTTCTGTGTTCCAACAGTCCATCTTTTTGCAAGAGTCACAAAAAAGCCTAAATGGTGCCATCTTTAGTAAATCTGTGTAGTAGTCAGCTAACATGGAGCAACACATGCATGACTTACCTTTCACAGTTTTTACAAACACTGGCTTCTCTTTGCTGGGATCTTTATCGTCCACTAGAATACCATGGAAAATTCGACCAAATGTGCCTATGTACAAAAAAAAAAAAAAAAAAAAAAAGTGCATTAGCAGGGGGTTTTCCACCATCAGAAAAAAAAAAACCCCCACAAAGACTCTTAAAACAAAAAAAAAAAAAAAAAACAACCTCAAAAAAAAAAAAAACACTTCAGCAAATGAAGTGCAGGAACCTAGGCCTGGGCAAACACAAGCAAGGATGTGCTCATAGGCAAAACTCCAACAACTCCAGTTAGTATTGGTCCTTGCTGCTAAGTCCTGCCCCCACACATTTCTACGGACCCATCACAGTGATGGGCTACCTTACTGGCCAACAGGAATGTGCAGGAGGCAAGAAGGGGTGAGCAATCTTCAGCACTACTAGGAAGTGCAGAAGCTTAGCACATTAGAACAGCCTTGCATTTGGCAGTAACTGTGTGTTGTTTTTATATTTCTTTGTGCAGCTATGTGCCTACACTTCAAACCTGCAGCAGTTTTCTTTTTCTTTCTGTTACATAGACAGATTTGCTTAACAGCTGACCTGCTGCAACCATAAAACCTAATTTAATATACTGTATTTTCAAAGTCAATCATTGGTAAACACCAATCGAGGTCAGCATTATTTGACAGGAGTGATTGTACTATTTGATACTGTGAAATAATGGATGCCTAAATAACCTTCCTTAGGCTGTTCATCATACCTTTAGTATCATGCGTAAATAGACTGGTTAAAAACAAGCCGAGACTTAGCCTTACCCTAAAGACGTCATAGTTGATAAATGATTTTATGGTAAAGCAAACCTTGGATTATAACGTGGATACCTTGTGCTATTTGACAAGGAGACAATAGCGTAATAGGCATTAAATCCCTTTCAGAGGAACAAGAAGTTTTTACATAAAGAATGTTAATTTTTAACAGTATTTCCTAAGGAAATGCGACTGAAGAATAAAGAACACGAGCATCTACAGTTGAGGTTATCCTAACCCTTTTTTTATTTGGGGGGGGGGGGGGGGTTTATGATGCTCTTGTCACACTGCAAGGCAAAAGCCATAAAGATGGCATGTACTGAACACTTACCTGCTACATTACAGAATCTGAACAATGTATCAAACAACCCTCATTCATTCCAGCTGTGCATTCATCTAAATATATCCTTTAAAATCCCTAACACAGCTGGACAGACAGAAAGAGGTGAGGGTTGCAAGCAAATATGGCTTTGCTGCACAGCGCAGTGTGTGGAAGAGCAGAGATGACATTTTTTATGTTGAACTGCTACTCCTAAAACTGGACAGAGATGGATAGAATTTCTAACAAAAATTCTTAGGGAAAAAAATGTTAAAGAAAGTTTTTCTAATCATTAGTGATGTAAAATTGATATTAGTTTTCGACCGCAGTGACGAGAAAATCTGAAGGTGGAATAGTTGGATGGAAATTTTCTCAAACAAATTTCTGTGTATGTAGTTTTCATTTGGTAAAGTCCATTTGCTCCAAAATCAAATGTTAAAAGCAAGCAAAATCTTTCTAATGACATTCGGATGCTCTGAGAATTTTCTGAAAAATTTTCTTATGACTTTTGTTAAGAAATTTCATTCGAAATTCTATCCATCTATGGCCAGCTTTAATCAAGTCACAGGGTGGAATGTGTCCCCCAACCAAGTTATACTGTTTATGTACAGTAAACATATCAACCTGCCTGATTATACTGTCTCTCTACTAGTGGTGGTAGGATTAGAAAACTCAACAGAATCAGCAATATATATCCATAGGCAACATACATTCACTAGCCACTTTATTAGGTGAACTTTGCTAGTAGTGGGTTGGACCCCCTTTTAAGTTCAGAAATGCCTTCATTTTTCATGGCATAGATTCAACAAGGTGTTGAAAATATTCCTCAGAGATTTTGGTCCATACTGACATGATAGCACCACGCAGTTGCTGCAGATTTGTCGGCTGCACATCCATGATGTGAATCTCTTGTTCCACCACATCCATAACCTGCACTATTGGATTGAGATCAGGTGACTGTGGAGGCCAGTAAACTCATTGTCATGTTCAAGAAACCAGTTTGAGAGGATCTGAGCTTTATGACATGGTGCATTATCCTGCTGGAAGTAGCCATCAGAAGATGGGTAGACTGTCGTTATAAAGGGATGAACATGATCAGCAACAGCACTTAGGTAGGCTGTGGCATTTTATCAATGCTCAGTTGGTGCTAAGAGGCAGAAAGTGTGCCAAGAAAATATCCCCCACCATTACACCACCACCAGCCTGAACCGTTGATACAAGACAAGATGGATACATGCTGTCATTTTTTACACCAGATTCTGACCCAACCATCTGAATTTCACAGCTGAAATCGAGACTCAACAGACCAGGCAACGTTTTTCCAATTTTGGTGAGCCTGTGCGAATTGTAGCCTCAGTTTCCTGTACTTAGCGGACAGGAGTGGCACCCAGTGTGGTCTTCTGCTGTTGTAGCCCACATGCTTCAAGATTTGACATGTTGTGCAATTAGAGGTGGTATTGTGCATACCTTGGTTATAACAAGTGGTTATTTAAATTACTCTCTTTCTGTCATCTCGAACCAGTCTGCTCATTCTCCTCTGACATCAACAAGACATTTTCGTCTACACACCTGCTGCTGCTGGATATTTTCTCTTTTTTGGATCAATCTTTTTAAACCGTTTAGAAATGGTTGTACGTGGAAATCCCAGTAGATTGGCAGTTTTGGAAATATTCAGACCAGCCTGTCTGGCACCAACAACCATGCCACATTCAATATCACTTGAATCCTCTTTCTTCTCCATTATGATGCTAGGTTTGAATTTGAGCAAGCCATCTTCACCACGTCTAGATGCCTAAATGCACTGAGTTTCTGCCATGTGATTAGCAATTTGTTACCAAGCAATTGAACAGGTGTGCCTAAAAGAGGCCGGTGAGTGTATTTACTAATACAGCAATAGTTTTTATTTGAACGCAACTACCTGAACTTGAGTTGATATTAGCCGCACTAGATAGAGGAGTGCTGGAATTAAAAGGTAAATTAGGTGCACTGTATGTAAATGTGTCAACGAGAAATATGCTGGTAAATCGAGCACAGAATAAGAGCCATCAGTCTGCTCCTGCTCTTTCACTGTCCAGCCAGCAGGGGGTAAAAAAGGACACCACTGTATACCTTAGTTATAGGAGTGCAATCCACCAGTAGTGCTTTGTGGCAGGGGCGAGTAACTCTTAGGACTAAAAACTGACAGAAATACAAAATTTTACATCTCCCTTGTTTGTATTTAATTTGCATATTTAGTAGTTTTTCTGGAGTTAAAGAAGTTTTGCAACAACTTAAAATCACTGTTTAATCTTCTAGGAGACAAAGTACATATAGCACTTGGTATTGTTTTAATTCATTGTGCATTAAAAGCTCATTTATGTTCTGTTTGTACCCACTCATCTCCATAACAGCTGAAGCCCAATTTATGGGCGTTTCACTACAGGAACTACAGCCATCATTGAAGTCACTGCCCGTCCCCCAGAGTCTCACTTTGTGTACACCCCATTCATAGCCTCAATAGTAAGGACTGATCCTTTGTGTGGGGAATGTTTACTAGTAGGAAAGCATCAATCAGCACTGGTATGTGATCCAATGGCTGCTAAATATTGCCAATGCACGGGCAATAGTGAAAAATTGATTCGCAATTATGAGGGCTGTATGACTGATCTGCTGGCAGCTAGTAAACATTCATTGCAATGGCATGCTGATCATTGTCCTTGCAAGGAAATGTTTACCACCAGCTGCATGTACAATTCCATTCATGTGTTGTACAGAACGATGGCACTTGTGCACCTGCTGCCAGTGACAAGTGAGAGCACTCAATACACATTTGTCTCCTTGCAGATAGGGAGGTTGGGTATTGTGCGTGGAGGGTGCTGCTGACCATGGTATCAGCTTCAACACTACCTGGAAAGACAGGACAAAGTGCATGTATCCCCTGGGGGGGACAGGAATGAATAAGGAAAAGCCTGCTGAGAGGTCATTTCTACTTTTGCAACTAAATTTGAGAAAACGCCAATATATGTCTGTTTTGTGTTCCCATTCACACAGCATACCTAAAAAAACATTTTAAAAAATATTTCTTACCTTTTAGAGGATTCTAAGGAGAAGGTTCAAGGCTGAATATAACAATTTTTGGAAAGCCTAACATTGTTTTGTCCCATATGCAATGTAGTAGGACAGTTTCCAAAAATTGTTTAACCCTTTGTTTGGACAGACAGTGTTCGAACCTAGTTTACAGCTGATAATGAAGTATTACAAACACAGTACAGACAGGGTTTATACTGGTAAACGTTACTCCACAGCCTCCTCTAACCATTACAAAGCAAAGTGGGCATGTAAGGATTTAATAAAATAACATATACGTGGAAACAGTGCCAAAATAAACCAAATTATATAAAGCAGCTAAACCTCACCCCTTAAAAAAGGTTGCAATATAAATCAAAAACAGGTAGCGCTATTAAAAAAAATCAACAACTTATAATGTGACATAAATAAAAATTAAAAACAAAAAATGTCTCTGAATTTTCTTTCAAATAATTTGAAAAAAGTCCATCACCAACAAAAGTGTACCAATCCACCACCAGTAGAAATAAATGAACTCACCAGAGCATATTGCTAGTCATATTATAAACCAGCAATTTGCACTTTTGCTCTGGGAGCAATACTCTGCAGACAGTCACAGCGGCAACCGGACTCTCCAGTATATTCACTCTCAGCTAGTGGAGCAATACTCTGCAGGAAGGGAAACCCTAGATAGCCAGACTTTCCTAATATATCCAATTCATATCCTTTTGGGAGCAATGCTCTGCAGGCATGGAAACTCAGCAGCAAGATTCTCCAAAAACACTCCAAATCCTCTCACACAGGCTCAAGGGGGAAGAGAAAACGAAGCAGGTGATAGTGTAATACTGTATGGTACATTTATTATTTTAAAAGCCCATCTGAACCACTCACATGGTCAAGTGTCTAGCCGACACTAGCAACAAACACATCGCATTAAAAACATCACAGAAAGCCGGAGACGCCGGCCGCTTATATGGAACGTAGTGACGTCAGTCCGAAACTCCACCCTACGCGTTTCGTTACTTGACGTCTTCGCGGAGCAGAAGGATGAACCGTCACGGAAAATTCAGGTCAGTCAGTAGTATCTGTTAAAGCTCATGATCCAAGTTAAAAAAAAAAAAAAAAAAAAAAAAACCCCCCCAAAAAAACTTCACCAAATCATCCCAATAAAACCCTTTCTATCCATTCGCCATTAAATTAAAAAAAAAAAAAAAAATGCACCAAAGCCTTTTAATCTGACTCAGTTGTACCTTGCCTGCAATCCTTTGGGTATTGAAGACAGATGCTGCAGTCTGGGTGGCCACTAACCTGTGTCATTACCACCATGGGAGTGTTTAGGACATGTGAGGATCCTGCCAATAGCAGCTAATGGGAAGTGTTCACATTCACTCTGTAGCTATGACAGGGAACAACTGGTACAATTGCATTATGCTTCTGTGGATTTGGATGAAGATTTGGGCATTTATATTAGATTTTTTTTTTTTTTAAATTGCTGCATGGAGCATAGCTTTAAGTTTCATTGTCATTTACATGAAAACACAGAAAATGGGTACACAAAAGAATGTCTGTGTACCCTTACTTTCAAGGCACAGAAGATAAAAATCTTCACCTATGGGAAACTTTTTATTAATGTTCTTGACTGTTTTGAGAACTGGCTTTTGACTAGCTTCTGAATTTACTGAACCAATTTATAAGAGAGGATGTGCTGTCATTGCCAAGTAGACTCTTATCTTGGAGACAATGCAAACTGCCGTCACAGAGCCGGAGACTTTACATATAATCACCAGTAACAATGGGAAGACAGACAAGGCTTAGCCAAGCTTTTAGTGATATTCGTTACACTGGAGCCAGGACAGAAGTCCAACTGATTTCCGAAGATCAAAATGTCCAAGAACTCAACTACACTGTCCCATAAATACACTGGAATAGTCTCGACTGAACAGTGCAGGGTACTTTGTGAGTCAGTAATACCTATTCTCTTTCCAGTGCAACCTAAATTTTTAATAGAATGAATTGGTTGGGAAAGGGAAATTATCTTCAGCTGCTGCCAGCTGAAGGCAATGGTTGATCTGACTAAATGCCCTGGGGAAACCATCTTATCAGATATGAACATTCCACATGAATCAGTCACATGCTGCACGTGGATATGTGGCGCTTTTAGGGAAGTTTTCCAGGATCATTAATTAACAGAAACTGCTCTCTTTTCCAATTACAAACACTTCCTTAGTCAACCAACTCCCTTATTAAGGTTTTATGAACGGGGACATAAAACGCGTATAACCAAAATTAGGCTGCATTATCAGTTAGGGCAACAGAAACCAGACACCAATGACAAATTACTGCAAAAAAGAGGAAACTGGCAAATGTTGCTCGTAAATTTTAAAATGAGGTCAAACATGCAGGCACAATGCAGACACCCAAGGCTTAAGAAAAAGAAAAAAAAAAAAAATCTTTATAGCATTTCAGAATGTGCCATAAACCTGTACAAACTGTACTGAGCTTAGAAGAAACTACAAGTTTATGTCAAGGTGGGGTAAACAGCAGGGAAAGGAGAATAGCAATTCTTGTAGCCTTGGCTGTACAGGAACATAGAGAAGTGATAGGTTTATTTAAACCTCTTCCTGACCAAGGTCAAAACAAACCTTAACGTCAAAACTGATTTTCCAACTTTACAATGATAGGTACAGTTTTACCAGCACATGTCAACTACTTATTGTATCCAGGTGGGTTATACATTGTGTTTTTTCCATGACTGATTGAGCTTTCATTTTTGGCTTAATGTTGATAGCTCGATTTTGTTTTAATATCAAAAGGAAAACTTTCCAAAATAGTAAAAAACTTTAGCTGTAAATTTGCCATTACCATGACCCACCACCAAAATAACCTGCAAAATACTCCTGACAAGCACGGCAATACCACATAAGTGTATGTTATTTCTCTGCACTCATAGTAGGGTCAAAAAATAAAAAACACTTTTCCCCAGACGTCTTCTCTAGCGAAGTGGAAAAGATACAATGAATCCAATGCATCTTTCACACTTCCCTGAGGAAAGAGTACTGGGATGGGTCTTCACAGTAATTGGCCAATCACAGTTACCACACAACTGGGAGAAGGTTCTTCAAGCCCCTGATCATTAGAAAGAGACCCAGAGCTGTCAATAACAGCTTGGTCTCAATTCTGGGAGCGTGCAATCGAGTGCACTTCCAGCACAAAAGCATGCTGCCACCAAGGGAAAAAAAAAAAAAAACTCCTCATATACGAGTTAGGTGGTTGTAAACGAGTTGACCAATCATATCAAAAGTTAATGGAGGAAGCAGTGTTGGCATCCTCCCACAGACAAAAGTTGCCACATTCAGCAATGGGCACCTTACCCAAAGGACCAATCTGACAGCAAGATTACCACAAACATATTTATTTTGGAGAACTACTTCCAGTAACCTAATGGTTAGAGAATCTCTCTCTTACTTACAATCTACAAACATTATATATTTTCTGAAGGAAGAAACCCTGGTGAATAAAATAATGGTAGTTCCAATTTTTTTTTATGTCACACAATACTTGTGCAATGGTTTATCAAGAACAAAATGTCAGTAGAAAATTACATTTAAGTACATTTTAGGCAAAACAAAACATGTTACCCAATTTTTTTGTAAAATATAGAAGATAAGGAACATGTCAAGCTATGAATTTGTGCAGGCCTGCAAAACTAAACTTCAGTACCCTATATTTTAAAAGCCCCTACAGGTCATCAGCTTAGAGTTAAACATGAATAATGGCCCCAGAAATATTTCTCACATTGCTGTTGTTGCTTGTGTATCACAAACAACATTTTTGAAAGCATTTGCCCTCAATAGGTGTAATTACGTTTGTGTGTGCATGCACATGGGGGTGGGCTCAAAAATTTTTTCAGAGTGGATGGGTGTAACTATTTGAATTTTGTTTTTTCTTTTGCACTTTTACTTTCACATTTTTATCCCTTAAGACAGAAAACATTAAAAAGACACCTGGTGTCTCTCCTTCCCTCTATAGAAGCTAAAGGAGAACAGATCATCATGGTGTACTCCGGGGGGGGGGCGGGAGTATTGTGCTTGATTAGCTGTAGCCATGAGCTTGTTTTAACCACTTTAAACCAGGACATTTTATATATGTTTTATGTGGCTAAAGGAAGTGGTTAAAGTAATTACTAAAATTACATTTAACCATTTCAACAACTTTATCAAAGCGTTCACATACCTTCTTGAAGGACATCTTTGAGTGTCACTCTCTCCCGGGAAATAGCAATGTCCTTAACCTTGACCTTTGCCTCTTGAAGAGTAACACTTTTCAGGTCGTTCTTCTCGATCCGCAGTGTTGGATAACCTGAGGAGCCAACGGAGCCAAACAAAACAATATGAATACCCAGGTTGTATCAGTTATTTTCATAACAAAAGCAAATATATGGTTAAAACGCTTAACAACTCAAATGGACTTACATAAACATTTCACAATTAATACCAAGTATAAAGTTTGCCCAGAAAACATGCTAATTGCTATATCAAATCTACACTCTTAACATTGAAGAACTTTATTGTATATAAAAGAAAACATATACAAAAAAAATACAAGGAAAGAAAAAAAAACATGGTACATCAATAACATGTTACTACAGAAGGAGATTTCACGGGTCACAACTGGGAACATATTCAGGGATTGAGTAGAACAACGAAAAATGCATGGACAGTAAAACATATCACAGGTCAAACAACTTTAGTAAATACAATAATACTGAGTGCTTGGGGGTAAAGCAGTATAAAGACAGGCAGGGGGGGGGGGGGGGGGGGGGGGCATCTCAACCACATCAAGCAGCTTAGGTGGCAGAGGAAGACAGCCATCTATCCCATATTTTGTTGTATTTCATGGGACATCCTTTGTGAATGTAAATAAGTTTCTTATACAGTAGAGTGGAATTGACTTCAATCAACCATGTCTGAAGGGTAGGATGGTTGTCTGCATCCAGTGGCGAGCCAATAATTTACGAGCACTGAATAGAGTTTCACGTAGTAGGGTACCAAGAGAATTTGTCCTGGGTATATCGGGGAGAAAGCCAAAAAGGCACACTCTGGGGTCTAGTTGCAGAGGTGAACCCATGTGATCATGCAGAAACTTGAGGATTTGTGCCCAGTACGTCTGGACAATTGGGCAGGACCATATGAGGTGGAAAAAGGTGCCTGTCTTCCCAAGGCAACAGGGGCAGAGGGGACTCTGCTCGGGGCATACCTAGAGACCCGGAGTAGAGTGAGGTAAGCTCGATGCAGTATATAGAGCTGGGTGAGCCTGTCGAGCAGTCTCGGCGACATCAGTTCGACATCCTCTAATACCTCATCCCAGATCTCCGATTCCAGGGGCCCCACATCCAGCTCCCAGCAAGATCTAGCCACCCCCACCACACTAATTGTAGTGGGATTACATAGTGCAGTGTATAGAGCCGAGATCAACTTGGTAGGTTCGGACCCAAGAATCACATCCATTAAAGTTAGGGGTTGGAGTGAAAGAACCAGTTCTGGAAACTTGGCCCTTAAGGCGTGACGGAGCTGTAGATATCTAAAAAGCATGCTGTTAGGGAGGTCGAACTCTTCTTTTAAGATTTGGAACTGCTTGGGCCCAGTGGATGTGATCACCTGGTGGAAGTATATGATGCTCCTCGAAGACTACATCTCAGGAGTGGGGATAGTAAGGAGGGTGGGCCCAATTCTTGTCTTCAAAAGTTGTCCAGAGAGGGCGTGCCAGCAGCTGCCTTCTGAGGGGGAGACATAATACCAAAGTCCTACAAGGCTCCAAATAGGTTCGAAAATGCAGGGAAGCGACTGAAAGACACTCAGGATAGCATGTAAGGATATTGTCGGGAACGGAGCTCAGCACCCGCATGTTCTACTCCATCTTCGTCCAGGCCATGCCCCCACCCAAATCTACACTCTTTATAATCCCCTAGATCAGTCTCTCAACCTTATCAACACGTAGAAACCCTGAAATAACTTTCCAATCTCATGGAATCCTCGTAAAAATTACTATATCTACAACTCAGGAATGCGCCTAACACTTTTGTCATTTTGGGAAGAATTCCAACTTACAGATAGCTTAAAAGAACAATGGTATCAATGGGAACTGATCTGAGAGTGAGGAATTTCGAATTGCTCCAGGAACCCCTAGCAACCTCTGGAGGAACCCTGGTTGAGAAACCTTGGCCTAGATGTTTGACCAATAAGCATCTATATCAGCAGTAAAGCCCATGTAAGTACATTTTTCTAATGAACTCTAGAGGGCCAACTAAACTTTTAGTTTAGCGTATTTCCTGTAAACTGAATCAATTCTGTAATCCTATATTCCACTCAGGGACTCATGTAATGTGGGATCACCAACAGATTTCCAATTAAGAGAGACCAGGCTTGGACTGATCAGACTGCTATACTTATCAGACACTCCAACGTATGAAAGATGTTAACAGACAGAAAATAGAAGCAATTTTTAGAATATAGGAATATTTTATTTATGTGAGAAAAAGTAAACTATTGATATTAAAGTGACCCTGGGTGACATTACTAAGTAATATTAAATAGATTGGATTCTGTGCTCATGAACTAAACCCTAATACTATCCTGTGTCACTGTGCTTTTAAATATAAACTGCCAACAGATAAAAAGGTGCATAGCGCTCTGCAGTTTCTAATTAGTATGTACTAATCAATTCCATTCTTGAGGAAGTCAATTATGATGAAATGACCTAGTGACATCATTATGTATGCCAGAAGAGGTGTTTTAGCTGGCCATACATTATACAATTTTCATTTAAATTAACAAAACCATATAATATGAGGTCAAACTTAAACACGTTCAATTTGAATCCAATCAGGCAGTCCCTTGTACAACATAGTTGAAGGGTAGTCTAAAGGAAATGGACTAAGAAAATTCTATAATGTTTGGCCAGCTTTAAGCTGGAGATTGAGTTTCCAAATGGCATTTACGTAAGCAAATGATATAATGGTATAATTTGTTTTTACATTTAAAAAAAAAGAAAAAAGAAAAGAAAGAAAAACCCAAAACAAAAAACACCTTTACCGTAGTTTTATGTTGTTCTGAGAAACCTTTTGCAGTTCTAGAAGATCTACAGAAGGAATGACCCCTACAGGCCACACACACACCATCTTAACTGCTTGCCTAGCCAGGCAAATTTAGAATTTTTCACATATATGTTAAAAATTGAAATTATTTTTTTGCCAGAAAACTACTTAGAACACCCAAACATTAGATATTTTCTGAAAGCAGAGGCCCAGAAGAATAAAACAGTGGCTGTAGCAACTTTTTATATCACAATATTTGCACAGTTGTTGCCAAATGCAAATTTTAAAGGGAAATTTTTTAATATATATATTTATATTATTTAAATACATTTTAATGCACACAAAAACACAATATACTTTTTTTGAAAAATATTAAATATGATGTTGCCTCCAGTAAATAGACACCAAATATGTCAAAATTTAAAATTGCGCAAGTCTGTGCAATGGCAAACTACAATACCTAAAATTGACCAGAGGTGACACTTTGATAACAGACAGAAAGCAAAGGCTTTTAGTTTAGAGTTAAACGTGAGTTCTGGTGCTAGACTTATTTCTCAATCCAATGTCCATAGTCATACCACATGTGTGGCGCAATGAACAATTACATATGAGGGCCTGCGTGCGCGTTTGCATTTGTGTGCGAGTATTGAAGGATGGGAGTGTTTTTAATTTTCTACTTTTTTTTTTTTTTTTACACTTCATTCTTTTAACTTTATTGCTATCACAAGGGGTGAACAAGGCCATTGCGATAATTTTGGGCAATGACAGGTACCCTTTATTGAGACATCAAGGGTCTATTAAACCCCCAATGTCTCCTCTGCCCTTCAAAGCATTGGATCAAACACAGATCGTGTTTGATCAGAGGCTCCCCTGGCTGTAACATCCAGGAATAGACAGTGCTGAAGCAGCTGAATAGGACAGGCATCTCCACACGGAGCACTAGAGTACTTTGAAAGCTACTCCACAGCACCAAACATAACAAACCATCTTGATGAGGGTTCTCAATGGACATTTGAAAAAGCACTACTTTGTAATGAAAATGATCTTTGCTAATTACTAATACACACCAATCTGAAGTGGTTAACTTGTCATACTTGTACCTTCTTTAAAATGTAAGTACAAGAGTAAATACACACTAAAACCATTATTTCTTTTCCTTTCAGAATGCTAAACAAGCATTTTCTAAGTAGGATACACCATGTTCCTTTCTTTAAACAAAAACAACCTGTGCCACAAGAACTATGTGAAAAATTTTAAAGTGAATGCTGCTGTGCCTTGATAAGAATCAAAAAGATTGTTAAAAAAAAAAAAAAAAAAAAAAAAAAAAAAAAAAAGTCAGTGAAACAATAAAACAGCGCAAAACATGAAATGAATCAAAAATAAATACACACAAATCATAATAAATTCTGTGGTTATAAAATAAATGTCCAAAACCACCAAAATGAAGAAAATATAAAATTTGTGTCCAAATACAAAATGTGATGAAACCAAAAACAAAGAAAGTCCCCTTTAAACATGCAAATAGTGCTCAAAAATTTTTTAGGATAAGTAATACAGAGAAAAGACTTCACGGATCCATGCCTTCCTGTGAATACTGATGTAGTCCGTACTCACCAGGGATAAGAATAAATTGCACTTTATGGATACAATATTAATCTCCAATTCCCAGGGAAAATTTCCTCTCCATAGCCTCCTCCATATACAAGAGCTTCCTTACATCCAACTTCAAAAGGGATTTCCCCTCATAAGAATGTGTTATATAGGAAGACCAATAGTGCAATATTGCAAAGACTTTTAATTGAATAAAATAGTGCTCAATCTACTCACATTTAACTTAAAATAAGTCACCAATTGACTAAATCCTCCAAAACAGACTTCCTAGTGTAAAACGGATTCCAGAAAGTAAACCAAACTGGCAGCACCGGTTATGACGTCACAAGCTCAACATAGGAAACTGTAAGTATGTCTGGCGCATTTCGCCCCTCCGGGGCGTTACAAAGGACTTATATACTACATTGGCGTGCCTCCTACCTAAGAATTAACCAATCAGAATTACTTATGGTAAATCGGGGATAAATAGGGAAATATCCAACCTTCCCACAATGCCAAATAGTTATTAATAAGCTGCCAATATGTTTACCTATCGGGTCCCCTTTCATAATAAACAATAAAATTAAAATCAACAAATGTATAATAAACAAAATAAAACCAACACAAATCTCTATGACATAAAACCTATGCAAACATATTATTCACACACCACGAGTACTGTAGG